AAAAATGCACATGTTAATAAGGGATCAGACAGATTTGTGGTTAAACTCTTCAAGGATCCGACCATTTCTTCTATTATGAACTTCGTGTTGGACATACGCTACTGGCATTAGTCACTTTGAGTTAGGACAACTCAAATAGCTAAAAAAAACAAGTCTAATAGCACTGAATAATTCACTTTTCCCCCTGTCCGTCTCTGCTTGTGTGACAACGAAGTCACGTAACAACGTCGTTCTGGGTGTGTCAGTCCAGCTGTTGGGATAAAGCCATCTGACCGAATGTGGAGCACCTAAAACTTTATGACAAGAAAACAACCGCTTTTTTCATCGCATTCAACCACATTCGGCCGACTCGTCTGGTGTCATTTCATAAGCCCCTTTAATAAGTCTATGTGGAGAAAAACTGCTGCAGAAGTTCGGAGGACTGGTCTGAACAGCAGAAGAAGGGCTCCGGGGATGCTGCCGTCTTTTAAAAAACGAGCCACAAACTCAAGATAATGGGCGGTGGTCCTCGTTAAAAACCAACCCCGTTTGACAGAGTGCACGCTTGGTGCGGCGCTTTTCGCCCGTATTGCTGTCAACTTACCTTCTGACAGCTCCAGCTCCAGCTCCGCCAGCTTCTCCCGGACCTCCGCCGGCAGGGTCATGGCGACAGCCGGCGTGGGCTCCAGCATCATCGCAAGCAGCCCCGTGGAGGTTCTCTCAGCCATGGTGCTCCCGCACGAAGGGCGTAGGGGTCCGCTGGGTGAGGAGCACAGCGCGAGCAAACGCCAGAGATTATTTTAAAAAAAGCAGCACCAACCCCTCCTCTTCCCTCGGTTTCGGCTCAAGAGCGAACGGGGTGTTGGTGTGTCTCGCTGCTACGTCGCACAGATGTGTGAGAAAAAAATCTCTCTCCAACCGTCATGACACGGCTAGCCGCGGGGCTAGCGGACACACCTGGCTCTGCTTTCCCATGTAGTGTGACGGGAGAGGGCTGGGCCGGCGTCTCCGTGTGCCTGGCGTCTGTCCCCTCCGACACGGACGGCGTCCTGTCAGCGGCCGGTTCTCTTCAACTGTGGAGGGAACTCATTCAACTCCTCGCTCCCTTCCCACGGCGCAGTCGCCATTGCATCATAGCAACAGCAGCCTCGGCCGTGCGCGTTCACGAGGGGGAGCTCGTGTTTTGAATTGAGTGCGTGCCTGCGGATGCTCCACGAACAACCAGCCTGCCTCCTGCTGTCTCAAATGTGTGGCACCTTAAGACTTTCAGAGAAAAAAAGGACGTCGGTCGTGTTGCTGCTGCGGAATTTTTTTTATTGAGCACATTTGAAACAGGGTCAGAGGAAGTCTACTACAGGTAGAAACTAACAGCAAGTGAAGAGAATAAGGATTTAAATTCTTTGGGATCTTAAATGTCAGTGATGGTGATCACTGTCAGTGAAAGCAAACGTCTCTGTTGTAATAGAGTCCTCAGACATGTAAAATAAAAGTTTATAGCATACTATAAGAAGTGTACTGTCACTTACCTAAATCTTTAGCATTGACTAGTTGGCATTGATGAGGGAATTATGACAACAACATAAAGACGTAGAACACAACTGTTTGAAAGAAACGTGAGGGGACAGGGAAAACATTTCTTCACATCTAGATGAAAACAATAGAAACAAAGTGTATTTGGAAAAAAAAATCTAGTTACAATAGGCCTTAAGAGACATCATTATTATGATAAACAATTATTTCAAATGATCAAATAGTAATGATAGTAAATGTTCTTAATTGGCAGTAGAATAAATAACACAATGCAGAAAACATGTTTTATGGTTGGTACAACATTTTCAGAAAATGCAAGAGCTAAAGAAATAACCAAACAATACACAGTACACAACAAAGTCAAGACCGTCACTTATTTTTATCTAAACTTGGATCATTCTGAATTTGTTTATATGCTTTTAGCCTCAGTTCTATTTGAACATCCTTCCTCTTGCATCCTGCTGTATTAAACCTGGCCATACTGGCTGAAAAAGTACAACCAATGCTATTTTCATGGAACACTAGCTGTGCTGCTATGAGTAAAAAGAATGTAACAAATGTAGTGCCATGTGTCCAGTACAATAGATTTTGTAGACCAGTTCAATTCAACCCATTCAAAGACTTGAATATCTTAGTCATTCTTATGAGACTGTCTGATTTTAGTAGAAAGAGCCAAAGTCAGTTCAGTTTTGGCTCATCATTGTCAAACTGGTGAGAATGTATATCAGACAAATCAAAACAAATCCCAACTGGAACAACCAACCATAATGTCACCGGTGGGTTATAAAAATCTTCATGCTGACATGAGGTTTTGAAGACAAAAAGGCAGCATGACACAGACATACCACAAGCCTGCTTCATGCTCATAAAATAAAGAAAAATTGCTCTGTAGTGATCTGTCTGGGTATCCAACTGAGAGCAGTGTATTTATTGAGGCAAGCAGACAGATAAAAACCTGACTGGCAGCGGCCGTGACTGTTAAAACTAGGAGGGGGTCGGCATTGATTATCAGTTAAAATCACTCTTTCTAAACTTCACTGATTACCAAAGCGCAATCTTAGACAAGCATCAGGCTCTTATTGGTTGCAACAAGTTCTAAATATATTTTCTGTTATTAAGATTACCACGTTACCACATTACATTGTTTATCACTGATGTAAATGGATACCAATACAAAATCACAATATATTTGTAGTGTTCCCTAAAGAAGGCTGTTAATCTGTTTAAGATTTAATGATTGGTTGCTCTGTACATCATGTGACTCCGAACAGTAAAAAAAAGAAAAGTGTATAGGTAAAAAGCAAATTAGTACAGGTATTATAAAATCATTTTTATCATTAGCTGCACACTGTGAGAATAATTAATGCTATAAAAAACACAGAAAAATGCAAAAACTTCACACGTAATAAGAACAAAAGTGACGCTTCCTTCACTATTAACACAGTTAATATACAGCAACCACTTTTTAAATGTCTACATAACTAATGCTAGTTTGTAGTCTACTTTGAACAAATATGTATTAGAAAATTTTAAACATAAAAATTACAAACTTAAATAAATAGATATAGATTGATATTTATATTTTGGATTTAATACTGTTTTTTCCTTCCTTACCTACTGGTAATCTAACCAGTAGGTGTCACTGTTTACATAGAAGATGTTTTTTAAAACCGTTGGCTTCACTGAACCAAAGTTTATTCTGACAATTCTGATAGTCATGAGAACTGTTTTAATCTAAGTAAAGATCTTTCCTTAGGGTATGTTTTATATCAATGTGATAATCTGCCCCAGGATTTCTGCTGTTATGCTCGAAGATGGCTCCATTCACCTCCGTGTGAACGTCCAAAAGATGAGTTTTCCTGTCAGAAGAAAAGCATACAAACAGTTTAGCCACACAGACCGGCACCATGCTGAAAAGAAAAGTTTGCTCTATTATGTGTTTTACCTTTTCTGGGCTTTGTGTAAGGCATCTGTCAGAGCCTTAAGATAAACGGAATGATTCTTTTCTTGTAGTAGTTGATGTTCACTGGTCCAGCAGTGACTCCAGAACACATCTGCAGCTGCAGGGATCTCATCAACCACTGGCAGGCTATCGCAGCCATCTGTCTCCAGTCGCCCGCCCCAATGGGCACCGGTTGTCAACCCTGGGATGCTGTACCTCTGGATGAAGAACAGCTTTGGCTTGCCGGCGAGAGTGGGACAAGCATCAGCTGTGAAAAGGCCCCTGATGCTTTTTACGGGTACGCCGCATCCATACATGTCTGTGCCCAGGAGATGATCGACCGTACCCCGGCTGATGATGCAGCAGACAAAGCCATCCCCGGCGTGGTTTTCCCTCTGAAGAGATATCCTTTTGAGGGCCGAAAAGGTGTCGTTGGCACTCAGCCACCGGTGGACGACAACTCTGAAGTGAAAAGCCTTGAATGTCTGTTCTAACAATACTGAAAGAACAAGGAAAGAACACAGAAAGTTTGCTATCAACCATTTAGTCAAGTCATTTCAGCGGTGACTCGGGTGGAACTTTTAATGAGTGCTGAAATATACTGAGTCCAATTTTCTGGTCTTTTTAATTAAACTTCTCTAAAAATATATATATACATATATATATGTTTGTCTTTTATTCTCAACATGTTTTAAATTTAAAATGGTAGAAATATAAACAAATCACATGTTTTTTCAATAACCAGCAACTATTATCATGTTATACAATAATGAATACAGCATTTTGCTAAAATGTTGGTTATGTGTAGACAGCACCTGATATAAGATAGTCTTCTATGATTGGATACTTTATAGGTCAGTGTTTGGTGGCTTTGTAAAAAAAAAAAGGAAAGAAAAAAAACATACATTATACTGAGAATGAAGCTGTTTTTGAGTGTCTTATTTACCCTTTCTATATTTTTTTTAGATATGATTTGACACAGTATCATTTGTCATGCAATAACAAATTTCCTCAGAATTTAAACCAGCAAACAAAACTAACCAACAATGTTACCTTCAAACCATAAAAGATAAATCCCACTTTTGCAATGACACATTTGATCTACCGTATGTTTATAATTATGCTTTGTTACTTAAACTGGATTTCGGAAGCATTTTTTATGCATGTTCTGTTTTCTTTTACATTGGTGTTTTGGTTGTTTTGATTAAAGTGTTTTGTGTCTCACCTCCATCATTGCCCACACAGTCTATAATCACACAAAGTCCTCTGGGATTAGAGTTAAACTTGTACAGCTCTGGTGGACTCTGAAATACAAAGGCAAAGAGGTTTTTACGAATGCACTTTTACTGGGTCATCAAATTCAAATATGTAAAAATGAATGCTCCATGAATCAGTGAAGATATACCCTAGTTCTCAGCTCTCTGCATACAGGTGATGCCACACTCCTTGTGCCTGTTGAAAGAGGTAACATGGAGTTATGAAAATACCTAAGCGCCATGTGGGGGCTTTCCAGCTCTTATTTGCTGAGCAGAAAACTGTAATTTGACTTTTTTTCTCTCTTTCAGTAGACTGCAAAGGGGTTTTCAACCAGCTTTTCACACACAAAAATATCATCAACATACCTATGTGATGGAGTTGGCCTTGTCTGATGACCTGAAAGAAGCAAAAGATAAAATTAAGGCTAGGAGTTTTATGACAGAGGAAAAAAAGGAGACATGTTACATTTTCAACTCACTGGAGCTCGAGAGTTTTGAGCTTGAGATGAATGCTGCTCAGAAGTCTCAACTGTAAAAGTCACAATTTAACAGAAACTGTAAAATTGTGTCAAAAATGTAAATACCTTTTAACTTGTTTTGGATTTATTCTTTATAAGTTATTTGTTCATCTACAGTCAACCATGTGTAATTTATATGCAGTTTATAGATTTAAGGCCATACTAAGTGCAGACTTATTATTATTAAAAACTAACTTTTTGTGTGTGTGTTGTTAAATAAATAAAATTAAATGGAACACTTTTATTGGGAACAAACACTTATAAACTGTGAATGTTGGTGCAGGGGTTAACCCTGTTTTTTGTCTCGTGGTTTGTTTCTGTTTTTTCTGGATGGGACTTTCTGCCAGTTTCTGAAAATACAGGCAAATAACTTTGTGACGCAAGTGTGAAAACGAACCTTAATAACTCACCGCCTGAGTAGTGGGAGATTTTCAGTTCCCCTTTATTGTTAAAGAACATGACTGACTTTCTGGATTTATATTTAAATCAAAAAGGACAAGAAAGAAATAAGTCTCACCTGAAGTCTTGTAAGCTGCGACTTTTTTGGCTAAATCAAGCCTGCCGATGTCCGTGAAACATTTCATGACAAAGTCAACTCTTTCTGGCGAAACTAAATCCTGCTTCTCAAGTTCAATGAGCACATCAAGGAAACCCTAAGACGGATGAGAAAAAGAGTGATATGAGCTTCTACAAGACTGCCAGTTGAGTGACATCATAGGAATCTTTCCCAGGTGCTCAATGAAACAAATGCCATGCTCCACTTTACCTTTGCTGTCTTTATCTTTTCACGGGACAACTGTCCTCCTAGCAGGAATTTAATTTGCTCCAGATCTTCTTTGACCACTTCCTCGCTTACATTAGTCATCAATACTCTGAAGCAAGTAAACCACCACACTTAATAAAACATGAAGTATGTGTAGTTTATGATATCAGACATCTCAAAACTCCTCATACCTGAACTTTGAGAGAACTTGTCTGTATTTCAGAGTCTGCTCCACCTCATTTCTGCTGACTTTAAATACCCTCTTGATGATATCGAAGCGTTCCAGGTGCCACATGAGCTCCAGAAGATAGGAGGGATAGTTTCCATGCTCCTCCACTTTAGATTTAAGCAACTCCATCACAGAAGTCACGCTGCTGTCCGTTTCAAACCTCTCGCAAAGGTAGAAGAGCTTCTTGCAGTCACTACTGCCGAGAGACTCTGCTATCAGCCGGATGTCCTGATGGTGATGTTGTGCCAAGGGAGCCATGGAGACCTGCTCAACGACCAGTAACTGGAGATGAGAAGCCTATAACAATCAATCAATAGTAGTAAGCCAATTAGGATGGGTGGATTCGATCTGATTAAACACTAGGCTATATTACAGAAGCTGAAGTTCATGGCTATAAGACTGATCGCAAGACCCACAATCATGATCATATAACTCCCTGTATCGGACAATGAGTAGATAACAAGAAGTACTTACCATACAATTTAGAAAAATGTGAAATGAAAGCTATTCACCAGTCGGAAAGAACGATGACGCACCTCTAGATAAGGGAAAGTCCCACACTTGGAAAAGCTGTCTCGGTTAACACAGCCATCATAATTAAACTACCGCAAAGGGGAGGGAGGGAGGTTTTTCTTTAAAAATGTAAGCTGCCTACCAATGGAATGACTATTCTGCGAAATCTCTGACCAGCTACAAAGTCCGAAACATTTTCAAAAATCAAAAGTGAAACTAAAAGCTAAGGCGGGTTTAGTGGCGCATTGTACAGGTTTCTCACCGTTTAAATGTGGATAGCGCTTTTTAAAACATACAGCCAGTGCCTATAATAATCAACAAACGTAATAGAGAAAGAGTACTTTTGATGCCAACCAGATAATATTGCTAGATGATAATGTCAAATTGTTCTATCAGTATTTAAATTAATGCGAGACAATGCTCAATTTTCATCTACCTTTTTTTGGCTCCATTACTTTGAATCAGATCAGTATATGAATACAGCTAGTCCTATTCCAAATATATATAAATGGCAACCAACAAATCCTGTGATGCTGATATTGTCATCGTCATATTTCCGTTAAGTTGTCATGGCTTGCTCGGAAGTTATGGCTCTATGTTTTCCTACGGACTCGAACGCGTCACAGCTACTCTCCCTGCAGGCATCCGACGAGCTTTCGGGTCTCTCAGCGTGCAGAGTTCCGCTCCGGCTGGCCAATCGTGTCGCGCTGCCGCTCAGTCGGCACCATTGCAGTTTGGAGACATCATACGAGGTGTACTAGTCCCGGACAGAGGGGGCTGTTTGAAGGAAACGCACTCGACCTGCGTGACCGCCCCGGGGGGGGAACACCGTCTCCGTCTCCCTCATACAATCTCCGTCTCTCCGGTCCACGACCATATTCACTGCAAGTGAGTATTCCCGTTTTTTTTTGTGTGTGTTTTTTTTGTTGTTGCTGGCAAAGCGTACGGAATTTTCCAGGTAGTCAGTCAAGGGCTGCTGGTGACTTGGACCATCACCAGCAGTGTTCTGTGTTGCCGTGTGGACGTAAACCCGGCGGTCAGGACGCCAGAGCCAGCGGTGCCCGCCTTTACCCGGAGACCCCACGGCAGATGCTCCGGTGCTGGAACCAGGCTGCCAGCAGTCAGCTGCGTCGGCCTGGTCACGACTGAGGAAAAAACATGAGGATGTCCACAAGCCGCTCACAAGACAGGGCATGCTAACGGCATGCAAGCCGAGCTAAGGCAGCTAACGTTTGCATACACATTCGGGCTGTCGTGGCAGTATTTTTACCAAACGTTAGCTAGCGTTTAAGTAACCGGCTAACACAGCTGCGTTTCCTTTTCAAAATCTGGTTAGCTAGCTGCTCTGTTTACCTAAAACACAGGTTGACACACAACGCCTTCCTCTGTGTGTTATCTTGAATGTTCACATTATTTAAGTTACATTATGTGGGTCACTTTATAGCCGAAGACGAAAAAACTATTCCACTAACAATTCTGAACTGCTGTATTTTGAAAAATAGGAGCGGAAGTGTCCATGTCCTCTCCTTTGAATTCATTTGTAACTTTTTATGCAGCAGTATTGGACCAAGCAGTATTAAATGAGTGGGTGTTGTTCTGTAAGTTGCCACAGTTAATGGAGTAAATGATTGACTCGATCAGCTGATCTACAAGTATTTGCTGTTAAGTCGGTAAGCCTCAGTGGATAGTTAGTGTATGTTTCTGTGTAATAATACTCTGATTGTTTTGAACTGGCAGCAGTCAGCAGCAGACCATTCCCATAACATAAGCGTAGTCTGTATAAGTGGAAAAAAAGCAACTACTTTATTCAGTGCCACAGTAATATCAGACTTGGACAAATAAACGTGATGTGTGTTGAGGATTGCACCACGTTAGCTAGGAAACTGTTTGTAAGCACTAGGGCTTGATTTATACACATTATGCTGAAGGCAGGGCTGCTACTCATTCCCAATGCTAGTTAATAAGCAGAGCATGGAGATGCCCTTTGTTTAGTCCGATCTGCTCTGTCAGGACAGTTTACTGCTTCCTGGTTCTAGCAATCTGTCAATATTTTCAGCTTTCTATTTTTAAAGTTGGACCCGTAAATATAGCTTGAGGTGACATTGATCTGAATAGATAATGCACCATTGAAATAATGATGTAATGGGCAAAAGATGGAGAGCTGAAGATCCAGATAATTCCATGCCATCTGCTGCTCATCCTCAGCCATCAGCCTCCTCCTCCCTTGCTGTATCTCTGACTGCCACCGTGTGTTTTGGGACCAGGCTATCATCAGAGTTGCAGCCTATTTTAGACAGAGCTCCAATTCACCCTCTTAATCTGTGCCTCTGTCTCCAGGATTGAGTTTCACGTGCTGCTCAGTTTGCTCGCCCGGTCAGCTCAATGCTTCTCATAAGGTCGAGTCTTTAAAATGTGTGGGTTTATGTTATGTTGCTTCTACAACATGCCATTAGTAGTAAACTGCAGTTAGAGGAGCACAGGCTCTATGAGGGAATCTAATGTAGCTATTTGAGCTGAACAATAATTTGCATCCTTAGTTCTGGGTTGCACATCTGCTCCAGTTGTGAGTATATGGTGACATCTCCAAACCAAAGCAAATCTACATGTAACTGTATTGAACCCCACACTCCGTTGCCTCCCTTCCCACCAGCGATGATGCACACACACAGAGGATCAAAGCTGTAATTAGCCTGGCATGGATTAGCTATGGGGACTATTTTCCACTGAATAGTACTCACTCCCACAGAGCCAGAGGATGACACAGCCAGGCAACTGGCCCCTTGCCCTTCCCCTTTTTCCAGTTGAGAAAAGATAGATAACCATGTTTGTTGTTGATGTCCCCACCAACAACCCAGCATTTCCCCCCTGAGTTCAGAGATACAATGATTTCCCCCATTCCCCACCTCCTCCTCCAACAGTCTTCCTCTGTGTGAGCATCCGTTTGATTTCTAGCTCGAGTCAGAAGTGAATAAAGTCGTTCTTGTCATGTTGCACGCAGCCAGCTGGATATGTGGCTGGCATGCAGAGAGCTCAGTGGCGCTGCTGACTCACTGCACTGCCAGGTATGAGGTCTGCGGGCCTGTTGGCTGAGTTCTTGATGTATTGCGTGCCTCTCCCCTTGTCTCCTGATCAGCCGAACAAGGGTTCACAGGAGGCAGAACAGCATGATATGTGTAGTCTCCCACAACAGGGGCTTCAGCAAACCGATTTTCTGTTTCGATTGGTGCTTTTCATTTCAGGACACAGCCACACCCAAGCACATGCAAATCCACACAAACTGTGTTTAATGACCAGACATATGGTGGCTTAAGATTTCAACTCAATTCTGTATATCTAATATAATAGATGCCAGTGAAATACATCTGATGTGCTCACACTGTTTGAGAGAAGATGTATTCATTTGAAAAGAGATTAAGTTGGACTTTTTCTTTGGTTTGACTTAGTTCTTTTGTTCAGCCTGTGACTCAAAAGAAGAAGTCATTACTTCTGCCTTTCTATCATATTTTGGTCACATTCTCATCTGTCCCGCGGTGTTTTATCTCAACTCTTTCCTCTTTATGTTGCTTTAAAAGGGACTGATACCATCAGATCCTGGTAGCCTAGAAATGTGTGGTTTCCACAGATCTGTTGAGACCACATCTGTTTCTTTCCATGGCTTTCTGTTTTATCTGAATCAATATTTGACTTTTTTGGGTAACTTAGTGTTTTCTATGGATGACCTTTTGCCTGGTTAATATTGTTCTTCATCTGCATTTTTGTGTTAGACTTTTGCACCCTTTCTCAGTGGTATGTTTTTACTTGGACACTGAAGGTTTTGGCTTTGTTTTAACAGATAGTCTCCTGTTTTCTGCATTTTTTTTCTCTTTTGTCATTTGTGAAATCATATACTTTTTTTATGTTGCAGGGGTGGCATTGGGCTCAAAACTGATCCCTTGCAGCAATTACCAGCTGTTGTAGCCTGAAGTGCCACTAAAATGTAATACAAGTGTCAAAAGGATATTTTTGTACATTCAAGATTTCTATTAAAATACAGCAGTGAGAAACGTAAAACTTCAGTTAGTTTTCAGGGTTTTTACTTTTGGCATTTTACAGAGGACATGTGCCACGTGCTTCCATAGGAAGCTTTATCTTCAGCCATTGTTCTCTGCTCTACCAAACGGCCACAGACGTTTCACCTGCTCCAGTTCTGTGAGTGCTGGGTTTGCATCTCTCCATTATTCATCCAGCTCTGTGTTTGCAGGTCAAGTGGTTAAACTTTAATCCACCACTGTTCCTTCCTTTACATAGTGACTGGATAACTTGCATCAGGCAATCCGTCCATGTGGACAGCTGTCTGATATGCTGAAAAGGAAGATGGCTGCTTTTGGACATGGCTCCATTCACTTTTCAGTGCTACACCAGAGCAATTGGCCCGTCGATCATATTTCCAGCGGCTTTATTAGTGGGATAGACACCCTTGTATCTCCTGAAGGTCACCCAAATGTCTTAAAATTCTTCCCTTTTCCCTTTTGCTTGATAGCTTCAAATCTGACAAACCTTTTCCTGTGGCTTTGGCTCAACATCGTACAACCCCACCGGTTCATTTCTTTCACTGAAAGTAGCAAATTCGGTCAAAGTTGGTTGAGGGATTATGCGGAAAAGGCAGCTTTCTGCTCAGTGGGAGCCTCATGATGTGATGAGCTATTCATTTCTACAGTTAAATAGTGTTGACACTGTAGTGTTTCTGTTTGCGTCATCTAATCTGT